AATGTCAATCCCTACAAATATGAAATAATTAAAGACTTTATTAGCTTTTATTTGTACTAGAAAGGGGAAGCAATTATTTGAATTTCGTAATGTTTATTGTGGAATTTTTATATATAGTCACTTAAAAGTAGCCTAATTATTTTCCATAGCTATAGTTTGATAACTAAAATTCGTGGCTACATGTTATATAGAAGAGAGAGAGGAAAGAGGGCAAAGAGTGGGTGAGAGGTGAATTGTATATCTATATCGGTTAGATAATTGTATATTATATATATATATATATATATACACACACACACACACATATCTTTTTGTATATATGGCAAGCTAGATTGGGAGAGGGAGGAGAGAGGCGACAGAGATTGGTAGGGGGGAGAGGCGACAGAGATTGGGAGAGGGAGGAGAGAGGCGAGCGATATTGGGAGAGGGAGGAGATAGGCGAGCAATATTGGGCAGAGAGTGGGAGACTGTGAATTGCATATGTATATAGGTTAAATAATTGTATATTATGCATTTGTACATATGGAAAGCGAGATTGGGAGAGGAAAGAGAGAGGCACGCGAGATTGGAAGAGGAAGGAGAGAAACAATCGATATTGGGAGAGACAGAAGAGAGGCGATCAAGAGAGAACAAAAATGGAAAACAATCGAATTGTATATGTATCGATTAAATAATTGTATATTACACATATTAAATGGGTTCCCTTTTTTTTAAATGAAGAGGAGGCACCATATAATAGGATTTTCTCCAATTTTTGATTAAAAAAGGTGGTTATATGTAGTTTTTTTTAAATAAAGAGCACAAGGGGAATAAGCAGGCAGCACAAGCAGACGTTTTGACGGTCTGTTGCCTGCTATTGGCCTCTCTTATATAGTAATGTTTATCAGTGATGGCTTTTAACTAACCAGAATAGGATCTATTAATTATCACGATTTCAGTCGTCTTGAGTGACACTCACTTTATCATCTTGTGAGAGAACCAATATTAATTCAAAATCAATCCAATATCATAAATAAGAGAAGTTCGTCATATAAAAATAAAGAAGATACATAAACATGACTTTTAACTTGGCATAGCAGGTGATAATTATAACATTTAACTTTGGATGTACACAAGTAGACGCTTAAAATTGTATAAAATTGAACATCTAGATATGTTCGTCTTACATGACACCCTACCTGACAATTTTATGTCGTACATGGTTAACTTGGTATATTTTGAATAATGACAAAAAATCAAGGAGAAAGAACTAGGGATCGAACAGCCCCACAGAAGAAGGAAATCAAATCAATCACAGAGCAAAGATCTGGAGATTAAGCATTCACGAGAAGCCAAAAAGGATTCGAAGCGACAAACTAAGAAGTCTCTTGGATTTTCTTATTAAAACTAAAAGCACCACAACACTCTGCATATGAACAACCTACAAATGACGCGCACAACTTAACTTATACTTATAATGTAATCTTCTTTCATCTTTCATAAATATTTGTACACTTTGAGTTAACAATTGTAAAAGAAAAAAAGAAGGAAAGATTTTGAGTGTAGGTTATACAAGTAGAGTTAGTGTCAACATAGAAGCTCTGATTTGCACATGAGATCAAATTCGAGAGTACACTTCATATACAACCAATTTCTCAACAAGCTCTAAAGGAAACCTTGAAACCCAAGGAGATTGGAACTAGGCACCACATCGGTGTTCCAAACCAGCATAAAATATCTCGTGTTAATTTACTTTCTGCATCTACTTTTATTTTACACTGTGAGACTAATTAGCAGGTGAGTCGACTATTCCACACAGGAAGTGGACTTAGGAATTTTAATTCACCCCTTCCCCCCTCTTAACTTTCATATTATGTCATGTAGAACATGTGTGTCTAGCTATACCTGTTTAATTTTAACAAGTTTAAGTGTCTACTTGTGCAAAGTTGGAGGGCATAATTGTCCGATAAAATCAAGTTACGAGTCATATTTATTTATTATGCCAAAAATAATAAAAATGATTTAATCAACTAAAAATCAAGTTCCCATAAGCTCGACCCAATAGTCCAAAAATATATAATGCGAAAAAACAACCCATAGGTGTTGAAAATCATCACAAACTCTAAATAATCAAACTAGGGATGCAATCTCCAAACCTAACATATATTGCTAAAGTCTAATGTCTGTGTCAGAAAAAAGGACAAGAAAATAAAAAAACGTTCCTGACAATGTATGAAAGATTAAAATATTGCACAAGATTTATAAATAATAAATAATACAAATTATTAAAATTTTACCCTCCTGAATTTTTCAAAGGAACACGTAGAGACAACGTGTTTCTGTTTGTTTGAAACTTATCAATAAATAATTCGAGCAACACTTTGTATTATTTATAAACTTCAAACAATACAAGGATTACAAAACTATTTAATCTAAGGAATTACAAACTCTAATTCCTAGCTAAGAAATTATAAACTCTAATTTCTAGCTATCCAAAGACGCAAAACCCCTCTATTTTATATCTTCTAATGTTCTTCAAGTTCTACAACTTGTCGAACAACTCCTATTCACAAAACTCAGAACAAGACTATTAAATACAATCTTACAACTTCTCATTTAACTCGCAACACTCCCCACGTTAATATCAAAACTCTTTCAAACCTCTTGATAGTGTTTTGATTTTCTCTCTATGTAAGTGCACAATTTTCCTCAATCGCCCTATTTACAGATTTGGACTTGAATCCAAAACCTATTTAAAGTAGAAATCCTACTTGTGCTCTGCTTTCGTTTTCTCTTAAAACTTAGAAGCTTACGCGTAGGATTTCTACCATGTGCAGAATTCGTCTTTGCCGCATCTTCAACTTCTTTTTCAACTTTAACTTTGCCGCATCAAATCCTTGTTGAACTCAACTTTGTCTTCACTGCCTCATGAAACTCAAATTACTCTTCACGTAGAAATCCTCATTGCAAAGTAAAAGACCATTCTACAAAATTTCCTTAAATAAATAAGAAAGCACACTTTTCATATTTAAATAAGAAAACATAATTTCCTTGAATAGATTTCTCCTTCACCTTTGTCGTTGATGATTCCAGTTGAACTCAATTTCCTTTAAATAGATTTCTTCTTAAACTATGTTGCCTCAAGCTATTTCCTTAAACAAGTATGAATAGTTCCTTTATCACTGCCGCCGTAAAGAAACCTTGTAGCATTAGGACTTCTCTTAGTACTTTGCATTGAAAGGAAACTTCTTACGTGATTTTCCTTATTTAGCTTACAAAAACTGTTTTCCTTTCAAACACAATTTTTCTTAATTAGGTAGTCGTTGCCTCAAGAAAACTTACGCTCAATTTTCCTTAAATAAATAGGAAATATTTCTGGAATCCCATTTAGAGTTGGACTAACTGAAACATGTTGTTACTTCCTGTTCTAGGTAACTTGTTCCACGCAACCTGTTCTAGGCAACTTTGTCATAATTCAAAACAACGTGTTTTCACACAAATCTTTTAGGAGGTAGGCAACAAATAATTGTAAGAAAAATATACTTAATGAATGTTGGTTTGTAATTAAAAGTTAGAGTGAAAACGAACCAAGTATTATTTCCTCCGTCCACAATTGTTTGGCATGTATACTAAAAATAGATGTCCAAAATTAACTGTCAATTTAAATAATTAAGAAATAATTAATCATTTTTTCAAATATTCTACCCTTAATAATTACTCCATTTTGTTCCATTGAAAAGTTGTGTAGATTTTTAATATTCTTGTTATAGTAAAATTATATTGGTCAAATTACACCTTATATTAAATTTTTTTCTTGAAGAGAGTGCATAACCTTATCGTGACAAATAATTATAAATGAAGGGACTATAAGATAATTAATGAAAACATCGCAAACATTATAACTTAAGTCAAATAAAGAGATCACGAGATAAACATGGAAAGATTATATACATTTGTGGGTTACATCCTTAGATTTGTTTAATAAAGTGAACAATGAACATTATTATTGATTAGTGCACATGGGATTGTAAAATCATAGTTGAAGGGTTGTGATATTTTATATGTTGTATAGTATCAATAAAATAAGCTGATATTACAATAATTCATTCGATTTATTTATATGTTAGTGGCTTGGGTGGATAATTTTTAAAATTTAAATTCATATTCCATACATAAACGCGTGAATAAAATATAAGTAAGCTAAATGTGTTTATTGTGAAATTAGGTCTTAGATTTAACTCACAGCCTAAAAGTTAGCTCAAAGAGAGGATGATTACTCAAGTCTCATAAAGAGTTCACGCATCTCATTAATCGATGTGGGACTTTTTTCAATCGTTAACATTTAATTTTCGACTTTCATTCACGTATAATTCATGGTGTTATATCTTTCCTTCGTGGTCTTCACTTTATAGTTGAGTCTTTTCTTTTTCTTCTCTAAATATTATAAGTAGTCTTTAGTTTGTTTTTTTTTTTTAAAAAAAAAAAGAAGCTTCTTTTTTTAAAAAAAAAAAAATGCTAAAGTAAAACTTTTTTATACTGATGAGTTACGGAAATTTTTTTTATATTGTAAAGTTATAAAAAAAAAAACTTATGACTTATATATAATAAAACTAAATAAGATAATTTCAATGTTTCCCATCCAAAAGAAGATTAAAGTATTTCCTTAATATTAAATTCTATAATAAAATATTATTTACTTATGAAACTATGAATAAATATTTCTTTTAACCCATAAATATGTATATAAACGATTTAAATTATTATTTTTATATTAACTCATTTTTATTCACTTAAATTTTAACTCAATCTATCCATTTGTTACCATTAGTTACGGAGAATAAATTCAGCATGAGGGGGGACATTGGGACAATGTATACTGTGGACTACATATCTCATATCTACAATTCTCAAATTATTTAATTATAGGATAAGATAATTATATAATTTAATATTTATTACATATTTCCATAAAGGCCCTTGTTTAACCCCTATAAATTGGCTAGCAATTTCCTCACAATCATATCCCATAGCCAAACATTATATTAATTGTGAGCAAATACATTTACAATGGAGTTGTATCACAACCAATATTATGTATTCACAATTTTTTCTGTGAGTAAAATAATATTTTTATTTACATTTTTAATCTTCAATTGAATTTTATTTTTAAGTAGATGATATATGAACAATTAATTACTTAATTAATTATTGTTGTGTTTAGGTTATTTTTGTGGTAAGTCATGCAGCAAATTTATCTCCTGAGGTGTATTGGAGAGTCAAATTTCCCAATACTCCCATGCCCACACCTATCAAAGATGCACTACATATTAATGGTAAGATTTTGTTAAAGATTTTCCAATATGTATCGTATTAAAATGTGAAAGACGTAAAATATTTTTTAACTATTTGAATTAGTATAAGAATTATTTAAATTCTAAATAATAAGCTATTTATATGAGTCTTGAATTACGTTATGTCTGCATTAGATATGTTATTATTCAATAGGGATGCGTCAACTATTGTCAACTCGATTGCGTTTTGTTTAGTCATTTTAAAGGGTTCAACTTTTACATATATCAATATTAAATCAAAGTTTTACGTGTACATATGACAAGTGTAAAAATGTATAATAAACCAAATGAATTTTTTTATTTAGACATTTAGGAAAAGCAACTATAATTAGACACTCTATTGTTGTCAAATGAGTGATTTGAAGTAAGTTAATAAATAATACTTGAATTTAAATGATCTAAAATATTCTAAATGAACTGTCATTTTCTCTTTGGTTACATTTCCTCTAACATATGAAAAAGAATCAATATTTTTTTTATATATTAAGTTATTTTATTACTAAATAAACATGATTAGAAAAAAAGTGATAGCTAATTTTATTTAGCGACAGATTTACAACTTACGAGTTATTAAAAGGAGTTCATAGTTAAATTCAATTTCTTTTCCTTATAGTATTTGTTGTTTAATGAAGTACGCATTTTGGTTGTGTGCATAATCTACCAAATAATTGGGATATGTTATGATTTTATAAAAAATGATTATTTTTTTAAAAAAAAATCAGATTGTATTTAATAAAGCTATTCTTTGAATAGTTATGTATACACATATTTATTATTTTTTAAATTGGGCCAAATAATAAAAATAATTATAAATGGACAAGTAAGTAACACCTAACGTTTCAAACTTTTAAAATTATTATACCTATGATATGACTATTATTGAACACTAAATTAGTTCCAATTTTGAAGTATTTAGAGGATCTGATTAACATTGTATAAAGTTTTTAATATATTCACTATTGGTATGATTCACATTTCTGACTTAGATTATAATTCTCATCTTGATTAATAGGTTTCTATTTGATTGTATAATTTAAATTTCTCTTTATTTACTTTAATTTGTTTTTTCATTATCGTAGAATAGTGAGATAGATCTTTATAGAAATTTTCCCAAAAGTTCTATGCATGTACCAACGATTTCGGGTATGTTAAATATTTTCGAATTTTATCAATTCTCATGTTTGGTTGGATCAGATGTTTTGAAAAGTATTTTTCAAATTAACTCATTTTTCTCAAATTTAAGGAAAATGACTTCCCTTCAAAATATTATAAAAACATTTTTCAAAACTCTCGTCCAACCACCCCACCCCTACAACCCCACCTCACCAGCCCCCCAATCCACCCACCCTACCAGCCCCAATGCCCCCCCCCCCCCCGCCCCCGCCCCCCTTCCTATCCCCAAAAAAATAAAGTTTATTTTTAAAAAAATATTTCCAAAGTCAAAAATTCATTTTTTTCATCCCTATTCTCGACCCCCCACCCACCACCCCAACCACAAAAAAAATTAAGTTTATTTCTTTAAAAAAAAATTAACTTTAAATTTATTTTCTACTCTAGTAAAAAATAAAAGAAATTTCTCAAAAAAAAAGTTTCACTCTAAAACCATACACTAAAATAAATTTTCCGAAATATATTTTCTACTCACTAACCAAACATGAGAAATTAAGTCAAATCTACTTGTTTTCCAGGAAAATATTTTCCTTCCTACCAAACATAAATCGAGAGAAAAGACATCTAAACTTTGAGGGCACCCTGTTACTCTATGAAACCATTTCAAATCACAATAAAATAAACATTTTTTTAACCTATTTTCACTTATAGCTGCCTTGTCACGGCTGATAGTGTAAAAATGTAATGTGACACTGTCAATTGGAATTTTCTTCTTTACTAAAAGACACTTTCCATAATTTTTCAAAAACCATATTGAAGAGCTTTCCATCAAAACAACCCAAAAAGAAAAAAAACAATCTCTATCTTCGACGAAATACCTGGTCAATAAGAGGGAGTCATACTTTGGACTGCTTTTTTCAAAAGAAACTATCTGAAAGCCATTCAAAGTCTTATCCAATTTTCACTAAACGAAGTTGGAAAAAATTAAGTAATTATATTATTAGGGGGGTGAGACACGCTTTCAGGCATTGAGGATGCAGATTGTCAAAAAAAAGTGTGTATTTATCGACAACTTCAAATGTGATATTATGTCTTCTTTTCAAAAAATAACTTGCCAAAAATAAGTACAAGTATTAAATAACTATTGAGAAACCTACCGTTGGCAGAGAAACCTGCATATAATGGAGATGGAAACACCAAAATATCACAACCATGGGGAGTGGGTGCATGGTATAAGGCTGCCCCAGAGGACGAGCTTCACAAAATACGCCAACCATGGGGAGTGGGTGCATGGTATAAGGCTGCCCCAGAGGACGAGCTTCACAAAATACGCCAACCATGGGGAGTGGGTGCATGGTATAAGGCTGCCCCAGAGGACGAGCTTCACAAAATACGCCAACCATGGGGAGTGGGTGCATGGTATAAGGTTGCCCCAGAGGACGAGCTTCACAAAATACGCCAACCATGGGGAGTGGGTGCATGGTATAAGGCTGCCCCAGAGGACGAGCTTCACAAAATACGCCAACCATGGGGAGTGGGTGCATGGTATAAGGCTGCCCCAGAGGACGAGCTTCACAAAATACGCCAACCATGGGGAGTGGGTGCATGGTATAAGGCTGCCCCAGAGGACGAGCTTCACAAAATACGCCAACCATGGGGAGTGGGTGCATGGTATAAGGCTGCCCCAGAGGACGAGCTTCACAAAATACGCCAACCATGGGGAGTGGGTGCATGGTATAAGGCTGTCCCAGAGGACGAGCTTCACAAAATACGCCAACCATGGGGAGTGGGTGCATGGTATAAGGCTGTCCCAGAGGACGAGCTTCACAAAATACGCCAACCATGGGGAGTGGGTGCATGGTATAAGGCTGCCCCAGAGGACGAGCTTCACAAAATACGCCAACCATGGGGAGTGGGTGCATGGTATAAGGCTGCCCCAGAGGACGAGCTTCACAAAATACGCCAACCATGGGGAGTTTATAGATGGTATCAGGCTGCCCCAGAGGACGAGCTTCACAAAATACGCCAACCATATGGAGTTTATAGATGGTATCAGGCTGCCCCAGAGGACGAGCTTCACAAAATACGCCAACCATATGGAGTTTATAGATGGTATCAGGCTGCCCCAGAGGACGAGCTTCACAAAATACGCCAACCATATGGAGTTTATTCATGGTATCAGGCTGCCCCAGAGGACGAGCTTCACAAAATACGCCAACCATATGGAGTTTATTCATGGTATCAGGCTGCCCCCGAGAACGAGCTTCACAAAGTACACCAACCTTGGGGAGTGGGATCATGGTACAATGATGCTGCTAAGAAAGATCTTAATGACAATCACCCAGTGACACCATACTTCTTTGAAACAGATTTACATCAAGGGAAAAAAATGAACCTTGAAGTCTCTCAAAAACTACAATCCAGCACCCATTTTGCCACGCAAAGTTGTAGATTCAATCGCTTTCTCATCAGACAAAATTGAGGAAATTCTTAATCACTTCTCCGCTGATAAGGACTCAGAACGTGCTAAAGACATCAAAAAAACAATCAAAATGTGTGAAGAACCTGCAGGTAACGGAGAGGTAAAACATTGTGCCACTTCTTTGGAATCTATGATTGATTTCACCTTATCTCACCTGGGAACAAACAAAATTATAGCAATTTCCACTGAAGTAGAGAAGGAAACCCCAGAGGTGCAAACATATACCATCGAAAAAGTGGAAGAGAAAGCAAATGGCAAAGGTGTTGTATGTCACAAAGTAGCTTACCCATATGCAGTACACTTTTGCCATGATGTAGGAAGCACTAGGACATTTATGGTGTCTATGGTGGGTGCTGATGGAACAAAAGTTAATGCAGTATCAGTATGCCATGAAGATACTGCATCCATGAACCCTAAGGCATTGCCTTTTCAGTTGCTCAATGTTAAGCCTGGAGACAAGCCTATTTGCCATTTCACTTTGGACGATCAAATTGCCCTGTTTCCTTCTCAAAACACAGATCTTCAAGTGGCTGAAAACTAACATGAAGAAAGTTCAGTCATTACCTGCTCCTCCGTTGCAATAGTCACAATGCTTCATCTAATATTGTATCTCCCTGATGTAATTACCGTTTATTGCAATGTTTTGTGTAATAATGCTTGCGCTGATGCAAGAACTGTTTAACTGTTGATCATGCTTCATCATGTACGATGTTTGCATGTGTGGGTGAAAATGTTTGGTTTGTATTTCAAATATGGTTGATGAATATATGTGGTAATGGAGATTATGACATCTTGTTTTCATATAGATTTAGTCTTTCTTGCAATATTCCTCAACACAGAATCAAGGAACAATGTAGTGAATTGGTGTAATTTGAAATAGAAAAGAATAAGTGGTCAGTAGTCTCAATTTGGGGTTACAATACAAGCAATCGAACACTGCATGGAGTATTACTGCTATATAATAGGAATTCAATAATCCAGATTCGCCTTACCATCAAAACTCCTCTGTTTGTCTCCCTCGAGCACCAAGCATATTCAAAATGCCAGAAATTTTTATCCATGCACCTTTCCAATACAAACACCACAAGCAGATTCAAAGTGTCAGAATTTTTATCCATGCACCTTCCCAATACAATTTTCACGTCTCCTCTGCAGGATCGATCATCAACCAAATGACAATCTTTCTCTAGTTCTCGCATAGCACTGTAACACTAACTTCCAATGAGGTCTTCTAAGCAATGATAACAGCCATTCTGGGTGAGCTCTCTATTTTCAAATTTGACTGCCAGGAAAGCTCCTACCACTGTGGCATGCCTTCAGACTCCAACCCCTTGAGATTGATCTAACTATTCTCACTGTACGATGTGATTGGATGTGGATCTTCCAGGTCCCAGGTTGTTCCTCCATAAGAGAGAAAAACAACAAGTAACAATCTAAACACCATTAACCAATTCCACATGCATTAGATGTCAGGGAACATATACCAGAAAATGCACCAGAAGACATTCAATATCCTCGCACGACAATTTATAGAAACCCGAAATGTTCCTCGAGATTCGCATTAACTAAATTTTGAGGGCTTAGCCAATGGAAAAGTAATTATCGTATGCTTGTTGCTTCCCTGTAAATTTCTTTTTCCCTTGTCTTTTGGGTTTTAGGGGACCATAACCCCATTGCTTGTAGCCCAGAGCATTAATCACCTCCAGTAGGATTTGAAATTTGAGCATAAAGGATTAAGCATCTAGAAGGCTTCCACCAGTTGGACCAACTCCTTGGTTCTCTTGATAGGTATTACCCTGCCATTAATTGACACTTCAATATTAAGCATCTGCTTTCGCTGAGATCCAGGAGAATGAGGTAGAATCCTTATATAATCATCATTAATTAAGCACATTCGCCCTGTAAGATGCTTTTCAGCTTACAACACGATGAAGCAGCATGCTCTGGAGACAATCAGGAAAATGTCATCAGCAGAGTCTTAACATCTCATGCTCTCAAGAATATTGAAGCGGCCTTGGTTCTGAGCACCCTCATCACAATATTACTTACTTGAATGTCAGAGTTCTACAAATTTATCAGAGCACCAACAAGTGCAGATTTGTTCAATAAAGTGAAGAGTCTCTTCCTCTGTCCTTCCCACTTCCTTCAAGCAACCTAATCCATCAACAGATCCTTAGCTTGTACAGAAATTGTGAGATTATGACTTCAACAAAGAGCACATTATAACCTTGATGACCAGCTAATTCACATGAAGTTATACAGCTGCATCCCATGTGAACATCATTTGCTTGGTCTGTTAGATAAAGTTCTTGCTTGAGAGCTAACTGCTCCACCGAAATAAAGAAAATAGTCAGAATTAAAATGCCACAAAAATGCATAGAATGCATTAACAATAAGACACCCGAGAAGCTTCAGGTTACCTGAAAATAACAGCTGTTGATACTGTTCAAACAGCATGAAGCAACTAATAGTTTTTAACTTTGCCAACAAATGTCCACACTTAAAAACCTATCATTCTCCGGCCTGGAAAGGTTCCAACGATCCCCATGTGCTCCCAATCTTCAATTTCACATGCAGTGGGACTGGAACACAACCGTAGGAACTACTATAAGCACAAACTTCAAGAAGAATATCAATTCTAAGAGAGGGAGAAGTACAATAAAGATCGACATAAGATCATTTAGTCCACCAAAAGGTTTAACAAAGGTTAAGTCAATCAGAGGATCTTCCACACCATCCCCCAGAAATCCTCTAATTGACAAACCTGAGATAAACTAGGACTTACGATCCAGACAGGCATATATTTAGTTTGCAATGATCCCTTACCAAGAAGAGAAACAGCATTTTCCATGCTCATCTGCAACAACAATCCAGCTTCCTTTGCAACAGAAGGATCAGCCTCAAGTACTAATTCATCATGAACCTTAGCAATGTCGGAAGCAAGTGACCAATATTTAATCAATACAAACTCAAATGCAAATGTAAGCAAATAGCTCAGGAACTAAAAAAGAGATGAGAAATAGACATTTCTTGTCCTCCTATTAGAGATTCTAAGCACTTCCTTAACCAGAAATAACCAGAAATACAAGAACTTTCTCGTAGAATCATCTAAACAGTACAAAATCAACTAACTATATGCTCCCTTACCAAACTAAACAATATTTCAGTTCACTTAAAAAAAATAAGAAGTTCAGAACAATATTGAAAATTGTTCCTTCTGTCCATTATTGTGATACATTTGACAAGCACACAAGTTCACCAATTAACTAGAACTGTATCAGTGTAATAGAAGAAATCATTTATTTGAAACATCAAGTATATCAAGTTTAATTCCAATTTGAACTCTTGAAGTTTTGAGATTCTCATAGTAATACAACTCACACAAGTGAGTTAAACGTTCTGGGAATACTAAAATGAAGCAACCTAAATAGGAAAAGAGAGTGATGACTATGAGCAATTGAACCACATAGGGATGGCAATGGGGCAGGGCGGGGCAGGTGCGGGTGTCCTCCAATATTTATTAATGCAGTTTTAGCTTGCTGCTTTTCATGCCTTTTTTACTTTTTAAAAGTTGGAAATTGGGATTTAGTTTGAGTTTATTTTCAATTATTGATTATACCTCTATTAATGGTAAAAAAGGAAAAGAAGTTAAAATTTGTCCATGACTTTACTTTCTAAAATGATATTTTATCAAAAAAAATTATTAAATAGAACATGATATTTTATAATATTTAGGCAATAAAACCTTCTATTATTTTATTGTTGAATACTACTCCTACTTGAGAATAAATATGTAATTCTTGAAAGAGAAAGTAGATAATGTTACTGTCTTCCCTTCATCTGAATTTGACCAACTCTAGGAAATAACCAGCTTTGAAATAGTGAACATTTAAATATGTATTTAGATGAGATATCTCAGGCAAGAGTAATATTCAATAAAAAGTTAATGAAAGAATTTATTCCCAAAAATTATGAAATATCACGTTCTATTAAATTTAAAAAATGATAGAATATATTTTTACAAAAGAAAGTCCCAACCTGTAAGTAGTAAAAAGACATGGGCAGCCATCTAAGGCTGCATTGACAAACACTGGAGCAGCAAACAGTGGAGTGGGTTTATAAAATAGTTATCATGAAAATCTTGCTTGCTTATAGCCTAATAAAATAGTTTATAATCAACTGCTAAATAATTCTAAATATAACAACTGTGATTTATAAAACTTTCAAAAATTTTGTTTAAGTAAATAATAATAAAATAGAGGGAAAAAAAAACTTAAGAGGGGCGGGACGGGCGGAGCGGGTTGAGAATAGAAAATAAATGCTATGCGGGGCGGATTTAGAATTGTGTGTGTTTGACTAAGAGCACGTTTGGATTAACTTATAAAAAGTAGCTATTTAAAAGTAGTTTTTACAAAATCAAGCTTAAGTCATTTTAAACTTATTTGAAGTTATTTTTAACTTTGTCAAACACTCCCAAAAATTGAAAATTGACTTAAAAGTAGGTTTGACAAACTTTTACGCCAATCCAAACAGGCTCTAAACCCGCCCCGCCCCATTGTCATCCCTAGAACCACAACATAAACTGTTACTGTTAAAAGAATACGGACTGCTTTATCCCTCTTTTTCTTTAGAGACAAAAAAATCGTTTCTGAGAGTACCAAAACTGACTAATAGGGGGTGTGAATTGTCACTAGTCAGTGTCATAATTGAAAACAGATGAAGAACCAAGAGAAAGATTTTCTGTTTAGAAAGAGAATACTCGAAAACTACCTGTAAAATAATCCGACAACGTCCTTTAAGCACATGAAACTTTTCATCAACTGCAGAATGCGACAGAGATTTCTCAAAATGATCAAGCACAGAGTGAATGTTTATCATTGCAATCTTGATAATGTCCGCAGCTGACCCCTAATTGCAGACATAGAGACAAAAAAGGCAATGATGAAATGGGTAAATAGAGAAGGAAAATGATTGAGGAAGGGAAGGATGGGGGCAGAAGTGGAAAAGAAAGCAAAACTACCTGGCAGATAGAATTCACAGCTTGCCTCTGAGCTTTAGACTTTTCCTTACTGTTTCCAAAGTTAATTTTTGCCAAGAAACGCTTTCGTCCCTTGAGGGTCTCTATATAACTGCATCACAAAAGCAAAGGAAACTATTTAAGAAATATCAATAAAAAAGGTTGCATAAGTAACGAGAATTAATAATGTGTTACTGCACCAACTATAAAATATGACTAGCTTAGAAAGAACGAATATCGAACTATTAAAAGAAAGAACAGTTTTAAAGTCATTCATTTTCAGTTTTAAGCAGATAAACATGGCCATCAGCAATCTGTGTACAACACATGAGGCCTAGCAACCCCCTGCAATGTCTTATAGAAAAACACAACATGTATAATATACATGATCTTCTGATTTCCAGCCTGAACTGAGAAAAGTCAAGTGAACACCTTTCAACTAATGAATAGTAACATTACTACTAGGTTAATGACTCAAGTGCATGATGTACAACCAGAAGGATATAAGGAAAAAAGGCAATGGG